TCTAGTTTCTTCACTGTCACCTTGTTGCTCTTATACACACAGACATGCAAACTCCTAGACTTAACTACTACAACCTTACCAACTTCTAAAATTCCTTCCACTTCCATGAACTTCTGCTATATTCTTTCACTTTACTTTTTTCTTTCCACTTTGTCAAATCATGATGGACTTTCAACACCTCCCTCATTTTTTCTAATGCCTTCAAAGCAGCAGCTACCTGCTCTGAAATCACTGCTCTTCTTCCCAGCACTTCTCCTTGCCATCTCTTCAACCAGATTGTCTAGGCCCTACTTGCCAAAAAAAGCAAGTTCTACTTTCCCACCCATGGTGCTCTTTTCATTTTAGGGGGTTCTTGTATGACTTCACTGAGAGTACATGTGGATTGCCAATATAGAGACTTTTTGCAGAGAATATTGTTCAAGTCAGTTATCAAGGGATTATCCTTGTTTTTCTGTGATAAGAAGGACGGGGATGGGATTCACAACTGCTGTTGTCACCACATTGGGCAAATGGACTAGCAGAAAGAATCCGGATAGTTATTTTGGAAGTTATTGCTTACGTATCTGGAAAGATACAAACCTTGTCTAGCCTTGGAGGCACTTGTGTTGGCAACTCTAGAGTTGTCGTGATAGCTCTGTAATATGTTTTGGTTAGAAAGATAATTTCTTCCCTTTTTCCCTTCTTCAATACAGTTTTTCTTCACATGACCTTTCTTCCATGTATCCATTTTACCTGTAGTTTAATAACTCACTGTTAGAAATTGAAAGTTCATTTCCAATCAGAATGTCACTAATTGGTTCAAAATGTCAGCAACTATCAAGAAACTTGTGGAAATCTTTTCCTGTGCCTCAATGGTTTTATTAGGCTATTTTCTCCCTTGTGTCTGCATTGCAGTACAGACTAGAGCAGTGCTTATCAATATATTCTAATTCCAGTCTTTATGAAAAGTTAGAGACCCTCTTTGCTTTGTAGACCAAGATCTAAAAGTAAAGTCTAGAAGTAATGTGGCCAGTTTACAGTTAAAGCTCATTTATCTCTTGGGTGTCATTTCATTGTCATTGTATACAATACTTTTAGAATTGCTTTGACATGTCTGTGGAATTGCACCAGGGAAATTTTTTTCATGGAGACTTGCTTAGGAAATGTTTATATCTCAGTTTTTACTGAGTAGCACAGACATGGAACACAGTGTCTATAAAATAAAATACTCGACCTTTCAGACACCAATATCCAGTTCAAATAGATAGAATATTCAGTGAAGGTGAAACTCAGCATGAAACAACAACGTGAGCTGAGTGTATTCCTTTGGACAAGAGAAAAGAGCCTAAAGTTGGTGAATAGTGAAATCTAATTTGTTCAGCTGCATAAAGGCATGAGAGCCTTTCCTCCAGAAGATTAGTGGTGCAAGTCCTTCTAAACTATAAGCAGATGGTAATTTTCTCAGGATTTGTGAGTTTTTACATTGCTACCTTATGTCATAATCTGTATTTTTATTTCCGGATTATCACAGAATGGTTGAGGTTGGAAGACACCTCTGGAGCTGATCTGGTTCAACCCCCCTGCTCAAGCAGGGCCACCTAGAACTAGTTGCCCAGGACCATGTCCAGATGGCTTTTGAATATCTCCAAGGTGGAAGGCTGCACAACCTCTTTCGGTAGCCTGTGCCAGTGCTTGGTCACCTCCCAGTAAAGAAGTCCCATCTTCTCCCCTACTCAAGTGTGTGTTTTGTAACAGCAATGGTGTTGGATCCTTCAGAATGTGGATTTTGTAGCAAGCAAAGTCAGAGGAGGTTGAAAAGATCAAGAAACCACACAAAACACAAGCATATATCCCCATGGATAGCCCTTTCCTGCACTGAAATGTCCCTCTTTCCTGAGAAAAACATACACACAGATTTTAGGAGTTCTTTGAAGTCAGAGGACAAACTCAAATCTTCTGTCACAGGAGACAATCCCAGCTCCATGCCTTTCCCAAGGAAAAAAGGAATGCTACAAAATCAGTGTCTCAGAGTTAAACCAGTCTTACACAGATTATCATCACAGAGAGGAGAACATATCCCCAAGTAAGGACTTCTGGATTGAGCTTGCATAAATAAACCTCAGGGAGTGAGTGGGTGAGTCAAGTGAAAGATGCCAAGAACAAAGGTGAAATCTTACATTTATGTGGCTGCTGAGTATGCTCCCAGTTCAGTGCTACTGGGAGAGCTGATGCTCACCTTTAGAATAGAATTTAAAAAACAATCAGCTTGAGGTGGAAGTTTTTGTGTGTACTGGACTTGCAGTGCTGACAAGTCATTACTAAAGAGTAACTAGTACCAAAATGTGAGACAAGATCTTCGTATGACTGCTGATTAAGTGGATCTACTTCCCCAATCATCCATGCAATATTCCAATTGAACCTCCAGCCAAAATTCATGAGGCAAATTTCATTACATTAGTGGTGCATAACCTGGAGTTGGCATTCTATTGTAGTCATGATGGTGGGATGGATAGGCGGCTGAAAGATTAATTAATAACATTCATTATGATGAAATATCAAAGTATGTTGGAAGGTCACCTTGTGTTGTATAATTATATATTCAAAAGAATTTAAATTCTTGCTTCAGCCCTTAGTGAATCTGAGACAGCAGCAACGATGGGAAAAACCTCCCTTAAAAATCCCAAGAATCATACTTGTTTTGGCATGACACTGCCTAAGGTGATTTACGAACAAGGCTGGCTTTGCCAAGCTTTCACATTAATGCAAGGTTCAGCATACATTTTAAAACATTTAATCAGCTTTCCATTTGCATAAATAGGACTTTTTGATTGTGTATATTTTGTTAGTTTAAAGGACCCGAGTATTCTAATGCTGGAGCCAAAATTAAATACTCAGAGTAACTGTATATTAATAATTTTAAACAGCAACTCAAAAAAAATCTCTAAGGTTGTCATATTGCCTGACTTTGGAAGATCTGGAGTGTGTCTGCTGCCACAAACAATACTAGGATTGTAGCTACTGACCATTTTGAAAATCAGGCTCAAAACTTACAGCAGAAGTAGAGGCTCCTGTCTGAGTGCAGTTCAGCTTTGTTTTTATGTAGAAGCCAGTACTGGTGGATACCTTAAAGCTTAATAAGCTGAAACAGTCTTGTCAAAGAGGCTTCAGTTAGTAAATGTTATGTATAGCTGGGAAACAGCACATATTATTTTTTGTTCGCTCAGAATCAAAATAAATAAATCCCCTTATGGACAGGTAACAGGCTACCGCACTTTACCCCATCAGTTTCAATCTGAGGTTGTATGGTTTCACATCAGATTTGATGAAATTATTATCTAAATGTCCCTGTGCAAAACAGTTTGCAGTGTAAGTTGATATGACATTACCTGAATGGCAGCAAGCATTAAGGAGGCAAACTACATGTTTAGTTCATCAAAGATGGTCAGCATGTCTTCCAGTTATTGCTCTGCTCTTTTTCTTGGTGGCACAGACTTCTGCAGAAATTACTGTGCAGAAATTACTGTGTCTAACTGAAATGTCACAGTGCTCTGGTTTAGTGTGGACTCGCAAGATAGGCAGTGACACAGAGCTCTGTTGTCTATGTGAGAGTGTCAAGATGTAAAGCACCATTTTTCAGAATTAGCTCATGGTTAGCAAAAGAAGATCCAGATCCTACACCTGCTCCTGCTTATAGGCATAAGAGGAGAAGGACTGTAGTGAAGTAGTCTTTGTTGTCCCAGTGTAGATGAGAGAGATCTTCTCCTATGAGGAGCAACAGTGAAATGATGTCTTTGGCTATCACTGCTGTTAAGGACTTGTATAAGAAAAGGAATATGCAGAGACATGAGAAGTGTAACCAAAGGCTGCCAGTGAAAACATGGGAACGTGCATTGTTTGTCAAGTCACCAGGTCTCAGTTGAACAGTTTTGGAAACTGTAACCGTAAGTTTAGAGCATGCACTGCACTTCAGAAGAGAGGGGAAGCCTTGCTATCAGTCAACCCAAGTTAGTGTCTCGGTTTGCATGGTGTCTGAATTGCATTTCTTGGAGTAATTTACCACTTGTCGACCCAAAATGGTCTGCAGCATCTGGGGCCTGATCTTCACAGGTGCCTTCACTCTTGGCTGGACCCTTAATCATCTGTCAGTAATCTGTTGGAATGTGCTGGGAGTTTAAACATAAAATCACACTGTTCATTACACCTTACTGAATTCAACACAAAGATGACAGTACAGCCATACAGCCATACCAGTCTGAACTTCATCTTTTACGTAGGCACTATGGGGTGATGGTATGTTATAAATGATGAGTGAAAATATTTTAAATTGCACTTTGAAAGGAAAAAGTGTGTACCACTCTCTGAAATATTCTTAGTCACTGTTTTTTTCTGAAAGCCTTTGGACATTCAGCCTATTAATTTGTTTCTTTCCTGAACATATCTTTATTTATGCAGCAGAAGTATTCCTCTCCTTCAAGGTAAATTCTGTACCGTTTCACGCCCCATTCTATACAGATCTTCATAAATCCATTGTCATTTGTTTGACTCCTTAAACGTAGGAGCACATTTCCAATATACAATATACAAGAAATTTAATTTTGAATTTATATTCATAATAAATAATCTCTAATTTTATTATGTTTTAATGAATTGCATGACATTCGCTCTGGTTTTGTCTCTCTAAACAGCTATTTAAGTATGTTCTTTATAGTGAAAACTGTTTTGTTAATGATAGAATTCATAGGATAGTACTAATTAAAAGTTATCCTGTTCATGTGAAAGGATGCAATTAAATTTTCAAAAGTAGCATATCCAAAAATATGCCTTAGCTATCCCCTTTTTAACGAGTTTTAGTAGAAACTTGAAAGGTACACTCACAGGCTGGATAAAGCATGAAGGCAGAAGAAGTGAGGTCTCAAAAAAATAACACGTTTTCACCCTACATTGGCAGCTGTCAATGACAAATATAAACTCACATTAATTAAAGCAAGTCACATCCTAAAAATATTTCTTTATTCTTTCAGACCACTCTTCCGTGGAAATTCGGATGTTGATCAGCTAGGAAGAATCTTTGAGTAAGTAATAACTAGTTGCATTATGTCAATATCTGTTTAACATTGAAACACTGTGAGATTTCTTTGCCATGTTTTTTATGCAATAATGTGACTGGAACAAAGTATTCCTAGAACATATTTCCTATTGCTACTCTACTGTATGCAACATTTTATTTCCGTGTATTCAGTGTTAGAGTGGGAGGAGGAAGCAACATGGAATATAGTTCTGCAGAACTAACAGCCATCATCAGGAAATTATGAGAGAAACTTCTGTTTTCAGCTTTTTAAATCTCTTAAATGTATTGTGTATGCACCATTTATGCATATTCCTGAACGGTTAGCTCCAAGGGATTCTCTTCATGTAAACAAATGCAGAGGTTTTATTTTTCAGTAAATTTTGTGTATTTCAGAAAACAACACTAGAATACTTTAAAATTGTTATTAAACTGAAATCTCTAAGGTGATTGACAACAGCTTCTTTTCAGAATATACTTCTGTACGTAAGAAAATATTTTAGCTTTTAAAATATACTCTTTAGTCTGTTAAAATGATTAACAGTCCATATTTTGGTCAGAAGAGTAACAGTAGGAACAGAAGGAATATCAGTATTTTAACATGTGCTTTGTCGGAGATGAACTAATTTGCTTTGTTTTAAAATATTTTCACAATTCCAGGAGCTTGTGTTTTTCTTCTTCAGATATATCAAATATGTTGAGGTGGGGAGGCTCTAAACTCTCTGAAGCAGAATAATTCTCTTCCAAAATGTGTTTTTAGTTAAAAAACAAAAAAATAAGTTATTGATGTTACTGATATAAAAATTAAGTAGGACTATATCACTTTTTCTTGTAAAAGTTCTTCAGAGCAAGTAATGTTTCTGAATTTATGAGAACCATGTAAACTTAAGATCTGATTAACGTATCATGTATTTAAGAAATCAGAGCCACGTAGGGCTGGTCCCACTCCAGAGAACGCCCATTTGCCTTTACTTTTCTGCCTTCCCTTTTTGTATGGAGGGGCTGCAGGGATCCAGGGATCTGGATGAAATAAGAAATAGATAGCAGAGAGGGAGGGGGAGAGAGAGAGATAGAGAGAGAGAGGAGGCTGAAATATTATTCCCTTGAAGATACTCCAAAGAGAAGATAGTAAAATTTCTAAGGAGAAGAGCTTAAACAGAGCAAATAATGCATTTCTATGTTTAACCATTTTTCCAGTTCTCAAATCATAACAGATCTGTTTCTAGGCATTTTCATTATTTAATATGAGGTTCCTAAATTGCAGGTCTTGATTTCACACAGTTGACTTCCCTTTCCTGCATACCATACCAGTGTATGTGACTCACTTGCGTGGTTAATTTGTCATGCACTGAATAGCTCTTCCTGCTCGATCCAGAAAAATCAGTCCTTAAAGTTTACTTTCTCTTCTTCTGCCAAAGCTACTCCTTCAGTCCTACAATATTCTGCTTTATTAAATAAAGATGGTTTTGATACATACAACGTATTTTATAATTAAAAAGACATAGCTGTTATTTTTTTAAGTATTTTGATTAATTTATGACATTTAAAGGGAAAAATAAAAATAAACTGGGCTAGGATTAAATGCATAGCTGCTAGCGACAGCCTCCAACAGGGATCTTTCCATCCCTAGGGGCCGAGATTACCTGTGCAGAAAAGAATTCATCAAGAAAAGAAAATGCCTTGGTAATTTTAGAAGAAAATCCTTATTACAGATCTACTTAAAGAGAAAGTTCATTTTTGCTTCTTTTGTGCAGTTCTCCTTGAATAGTTGAAAAGTTTCTTTCTTAGGTTCGGGGGGGGGGGGTTGTGCTAAATAGTGTTTATTTTGTGTTTTCACAGCTGGAGAACCCCCTACAGTTAGGCATAGCTCTTATTGTAGGAGGATTGTTTCTTTCTACGGTAGTGACTCATTCTGCAGACTGATATGGACAGAAAGTAGTTTCGGGATTTTTGTGCAGTCTAGATTGATGCATTCTTTAGATAACGGGGCTGTGGTCAACCTTTGCTTTACATGTGTGTTCTGATTTGCATCAGGTAAAATTCCACTACATTTGAGGGTAAATCCCTCGGAGGTGGCCCAAACCAATTTCCTGCTTCTCCAGGACACCATCAGCATGTGGGATATCCTCACAGATTTTGGGCTGCAATGGTTTGAGCAGACTTGTCTCCCATTGTGATCAATGAGAGTGGAAAGTGCTTGGTGTTTCTCAAGACTGGGCCTGAACCTTTGGCAGGAGGTGAAACTCATCCAAGATACTCCCAGACTTAGTCACTGAAATGGTAGTGCTACCAGACCAGAGTGAGGGCATCTGCTCAGACATTCATTCTTATGAATTTTGAATATTACGTGAGGGCATAGCTAAAAATGTCTCTTCTTCCCACTCTTGGTCTTGTCCACCCTACCTGTCCGACAGGCTGCCTCCTTGTTTCTTTTTAGTAGCTTTGCCTATGCCTGGGCTTACTCTGCCCTGTTCATGCTCTCTCGTGCAAACATTAAAAAACCTGGGACTAACCAAACACATTTGAATGGCAGGCTAAACTTCATTGTTGATTAAAATATGTAACACCCCCATCTTCCCATGATGCTATTTTTATCCTATTTAATACAGGTCCCAATCCTCAAACAACTAATCACATGGCTTTAACCACTTTGGCCAAGGGAGTTGCCCCATACATCCACTGTGTGGTGATAAAAGTAAAATTCAATTTTCCATACAGATTTAACATCATTTCCCCAGGAGCTGTGGTATCTTCAGTTGTACTAAAATTAAATTTTCCTGAGATTTTAATTGCTATGCCCTTCTAGCCATGCTGTTGTTTTGAGGACATACTAATTTTCAGAGGTATTTTTGGTGAGCCAAATTACAATCCAAAATCCATGTAGGTAGATGTGGGGTAATTCCCCTGACTTCAATGAGGTAACCTATGGTTTACATCAAAGTGTTTGGCCCATGGCCTCACCAGGTCTTTCTACCAACCCCCATCAGAAGAAAGGTCAATGCTGCTCCCTAGCGGCATTGGGCTTAGTGCAGACCCAAGTATTCATTGACTTCTTTAATGTTCCTTCTTGTCTTACTCTGTCAGTGTTTCCATTAAAAATCTCGATTTTACAGGAAGTAAAAATTTATTTTCCCTGAAACCTGACAAATAATGATTGTCTTTTCCAGAATGTCCATCAGAAAGTGGCGTTTCAACCCCACAAATACTAACATCAGACTAAAGTATGAAATGTGTGAGACATGATCCATCATTGGAAGTTTACCTACTATTTCATTTATTTGGGTTTTAAACCTTAACATGATTATTTAATAAGTATAAATATCTTCTAGAATTTAGAGAATAAAGAAATAAAACATAAAAAGATATTAAAATATTATCTTAAAGGGTAAAGAGAAACTAAAATACAATTGAAAGTGAAAACATAAAGACATTCTATTCCTGTGCCACTTCTGAATGGAGACTTTAAAACCTGTATTGTGAAGCAAATAAATTGTTTAAATTTGGGCAACAATTACTGCACATAGCTTTGAAGCATTATGAAACATCCTTTTTATTGCCTTACCCTCATCTTGACCCACACTCTTCTCTCAGTCCCTATTCTTGTGAAGAAAGATCCTTGCATGCAATTCCCCTTTGAAACTTACTGCTTTTAATCATCCTGGAGCGACATGTGTTGCACCATCCAGTCAAGAGCTGAGCAACTTTCTTCCAAAGCCTTCAGCCCTTTTTCAACAAAAAGACTCAGAAAATTGAGACCTAGGACAGAAAACTGTGCTGGCCAAAGAAGGGTTTCTACCAAGCACACTGAGAATCTACACTCCTCAGCCTCTATTCACAGAGATCAGTGCACAACTGTACAATTTATCTCATTTAAACAAAAAGACTTATAAACTGCTACTCAGTATAATCAATATAAAGGGGATACTGCATAAATGTTCAGACCTAACGTTATGTTTTCCTTTCACAGTGTTATTGGACTCCCAGAAGAAGAGGACTGGCCTAATGACGTTGCCCTTCCAAGAAATGCTTTCACTTCCAGACCTGCACAACCTATCGAAAATCTTGTACCAGATATTGATGACCTGGGCAAAGACTTGCTTCTTGTGAGTTTCTATTTGCTCTTCTCCAAGCCACATCCCTGATAGCTCCCACTGTGCCTGCAATGTGCCAACAAACATTTATGTTTCCTTTTAATACAGTTATTAAAGAAAAGCTCAAAAGTAGGTAAACAAATTCATGTAAATCTGTGAAACATCAGCAAAAAGACACCACCTTTGGCTCAAGAGGTGTCAGAGCTGAGAACAGTTAGAGACTAGGAAACTGTGTCAAGGAAGTACCTGTTTGACCTGTCTTTAGACTTATGCTTAGATATTGTTTAGTGACCACTGTTGTGCCATTGATTCAGACATTCTTTAGGTAGAAGCCTGACATGAGTACAAAAATGGTTCTACAGTTTTTCATGGGATAGTGGACCCAGTATAAAGCAGAAAATAGGCTGTAGAGGCAGATTACATCTGCATGTCTTCTTTGAATGCTGAAAACTCAAGATTTGGAATTCACCAATTGCTGCCTCTTAGAGATGACAAGATTGAACAGAAGCTAACAAATTGTGCTGGTACAGCTGGTAACACTGAATTCAATTAAATTAGTTTCATAATTTTTATCGATATATTATAAACTACAGCCTTGAAGTTCAGTCTTGGAATGGAATATACGGAATGGCCTTGAATCAGTTTGCTTTTGCTGTGTTTGTTGAAATCTAGCTAAAGTTGTTCTCTGAAAGCCTTTAAAAGATCTTGGTTCACGCAGGCTCAGTAGAGTGGGCTCAGTGCAACTCTTGAAAAACTTGATGCATCCCTTCAGGAACTGCTCACTCTTACCAAATTTATCTCTACAGAACAGCAGATCATCTTCCATTCTCCTTGTGACTGCAGCTCCAAGCTGCGGCAAGCCAGACTATGTCTGGACACGTGAAATGACAGGGAGAAATGCATCTGTTGTGCTTACAGGCAGCCTGGAAATGGAAGTTAGATGAGGGACAAGAATTAGATTCCGGGAACAACAAGGAATAAAATGTGGCAGAGAGCTGAGTGAGTGTGAGGCATGATGTGAGGGAGGAAGAAGACGAATATCTATGCCTAGAAGATGAGGTGGGAAGGGAAGCTGTTAACTGTTAGGCAAAGAGATGAGAACTGGGAGCCACAGATTAAAGGGGAGAGTAGGACTGGAAGTTGCTTAATTAAATTTCAGTAGTTAAATGATAGAAATACTGATACAAGAAAAGAATATAAGAGTAGGGAGTGGTTAGACAAGGATAGCAGGAAGAATACTATTTGGAGGTGAATGACGGAAAAGAGAAGAACAAGGTACAAAACAGAAGGCTATGGGAGAGATTTCAGTGCTGGCTGGACAATAGCTGGGATAAGGATCTGGAAAGAAGGCAAGCATAGTACAACTAGGAAGAAGAGGGAGAAACTGAACACAAAACATTAGCTTACAAAGGCTATGAAGTCAAAGACCCAACGCCTATAGAAATGCTGAGCCTAGGAATGAACATATACCTTATGATGCTGTCCATGTTTGTATAATCACAAAAGAACAGTGTATTGAACACTGAGGGGATTCAAAAGTTGTTCATGAATAGCTGTCCCCTGCAGCCTGTGAGACAGATGTCCTTGTACATGTGAATTCAAGAAAACCTGAATTCTAGGATTTACTTAACTATGAATACTTGAATTTTCTAACTTGTTCTTTTCTATTAGCTTTGTGGATGCCATATTCATATACTATGATACCACTGCTTGTTTTAATATGGATGGCCATCTTATCATGCAGCCCCTACTGAGACCCTGTTGTGTCTCATACTGATCATAAATTGAAGATGGCATGCAATAATGTGTACATGCAATGTTAGCACTGTTAACTATATATTTTAGTTAAAACCAACTTCTTTTCATACTTACAGAAATGCCTAGCGTTCAATCCAGCCAAGAGAATATCTGCCTATGTTGCTCTCTCTCACCCATATTTCCATGATCCGGAGAAATGCAAGGAGAATCTGGACTCTCGCATGCCACCCAGCCAAAACTCCAGTGAGATGAATGCATCCTAATGCTGACCGAAGATGAACAAGACGTGTAGCTGACAAGGCCACTGTCCCATACAAACCACATAGCTGTTCTAGTGAAGATCATTATTTGGAGGTTTTATGCACTTATCTTTTCTTTCGGGATTGTGCTAGTTTACTTTCCTCAGAGCAACGCAAGGGCCAGGGCTTTGACCTGCTCCCATTGCAGCTTTATGTTTGTTTTAGATTTGTTCTGTTTATCTACCTGGGAAAACTCCAGACGAAGACAAGCTGCTGACCAGTTTTGCTGCCATTTTATCCTTTTAATATTGAATGCTGCCAGTGCGGAGTAGGATGATGAAGTCACTGCCAAAACATGATGCAATCTCTCTCTCTCTAGCTGCTGAAGCATGATTTGGTACTTTTTAAATTATTATTATTTGATCTCTTACAGTGATATTTAAAGAGTGGCACTGAAATATCAGATCTCTGCAACCTGCAGTTAACTGATATGTGCATTAATACATCCAGCTACTGTTCATTCATAGCATATATGCAGGTGCTTCTCCACTTGAAAACTTGGTTGGATTATTTTATCATTTCATTGCTCTATAAAAATAACAGTGATGATGATGATCATAATAAACGTCTCAACTTTTAGTTTTTTTCATACACAAACGAGTTATTATCTAGCTACGTTTGTGTGCATGTTGCAAAAAACAAGTGTTTTATAAAACTTCTAGAGTCTTGTTTTTAAAGACATTTCTGGTTTCCAAATGGTCACTTTCTCTTGAAATCCAGGGACATTCTAGCCCATTATCTAACCTATCGCCTTCCCCCTGGAAAAAGCTGCAAGCATATTTTCTCCATCCCATTCCAAATTTTCTGATATGCAGATCAAAGACATGAGCATAGCAAATCAATACAAATTTTGTGCCAAAAAGGAAAATAGAAAAAATATTTCCAGTTCAAAAGCAGAGACTCCTATACCTGTAATAAGCACAGATATGTATTTCTGCTGAATTGTGTGCCGTATACTGAGCTGCCTTACCTGCAACACCCCCCAATGCATCGTAAGTGTATGAACATTACTGTCTCAAAATCCCTCGGATGTCATTTATTAAGCAGACTTGTTTTCTATGCAGAAATGCATGAGCTTCTCTCCTAAACCACCATGTGGGTATACTGGCACATGCCTCTCCACTAGGGTTAATGTGCCATTATTGAATGTCAGAATAACTAAGCAATTCACATGCCTTTATAGCACAGTTATTTTAAATATTACATTAAATGTTTATATTTAGTATTTTTGCCTTAACTAAAATATATTTTCAGTATTTTAAAAAGAAGCTTTTATTTTTTTAATACTGTACTGGGAAAAAAGAAATATTTTAAATTCATAAAAGCTGTTCCCTAGCATGCCTTTAGTGCATTTACCTGGATATGACTTGGGGGAAAATATTGGTCCAACGAGTTAGCCCTTACCACAAAACCTTGAATATACACTATTGCAGTATAACTGATGACAAGTGAGGCAGCTAAGCTTTGCTTACTCCTGTGACAGTCCCTTAGGCTTCTCTCTTCCTCATCTCTACTTCATCTTGTCTCGCTAGTGAGCCAGCATTATATCCTCCTGCACAGCATGCTTGGCAGAAGCAGGTCCTTAGCAGTGAGCTGAGCAATGTAATTTTTGCAGCTGTGGCACGGGAACTTGGAGCGGTCTCCCTGGCAGGTTTCTCAGTCCTGTGATAGTCTGGCTCTTGTGGCAAACTTCACTGTTAACTCTGTTTCAGGTATCTGCACTTTCTGGGACGTGGCCCATTGCTGGGATAGTGAGTAGATCTTACCTGTCTCTTGGATAAAGCTTTCTGTTACTGTTAGACATATAAGCCTATGATGTATGGTTAAATTAGGTCTGGTTTAAGTAAGCCAGATTTTAAAAGGACCACTTGCATACATGTGTGCAGTGGCCTGTGCTTTTCTTCATGCCTAGAATAATGCCTGTGCAAGACCTACTAGCACAAGGAGGCAAGTTGCAAATTAGGCCTGCCAAGAGCACACACAAGGCATCTGCACACAGAGATACTACAGATGCGTAACACAAGACTGTTGGAAGCTCTCTGAGTGCCAAGCCAAAGGCCAGGGAGTGGTCACAGCAGGTAACCCTCTCATCTTGGCCTTGTCTTTGTCATCGTCTCTGTTCCTAGGGGAACTGCGAACCCACTGCACCAGTGTTGTCCCAGCCCTGCTCCGCCATGGGTCAGTGGACCGGAGTGCAAATAGATTTTAACGTTCATAGAAAAGAATGGGCTAGAGTGAAATTTTTGCTAACCGTTTTCAAACACTAATTAGAACAACAAACAGAGCTAAAATACAGGAGAATCTTGCAACAGTAACAGAAAAGATTTCTACACAGTTTAGCACTTCTAAAAACATTCCACATTTTACCTAGCCCCAAGCTATGATACATACTTTGTCAGGGCATTCAGCTGGTGTAACTTTCCAGCAGCTGTCAGGGAACCCTCCCAGAGCTCTCCAACAACTAATGTAAGGGTGAGAATGTAGGGGTGGAGAGGATATTTTCAAATTAGGCTCAAAACTCCCAGACAGAGATGTGCATCTGTTCTGTGTTAGAAGAGCTTGTTGTATTAAGCTTAGCAAAGCAAAGCCTAGAAAATAATATGATTGCTGAATGTAGTTACACTATTAGGTAAAACAAAAAGGAGGGAAGAGAACACTGTAATCCAAAGTGTAGCATTGGCCCAAAACCTAATGAGAAAATGGAAATTACAAGGAAGTTCACTACTTGAGCAGTATTTCTCAATCAGCAGAGAAAAGCAGGGGCTGGCTTATGGACTCAGAAGCAGAGCTTCTGCACCATGGTGCTGTATTTTGTCTAATTATATATTATGTCTAATATTTGTCAGGTAATAAATGGGGGTAATCAGGAGAAGAGCTTGAGAAGGGTTGCATTAATGTTCATGTTCTGGAACATCCAGTGGGAGTGGCAGGAACCAAAAAAGAAATTGAAGTTTTGTCTTGGCAGGGCTATGGAAAAGATTTGTCTAATGGGGTCCCTGTGGTAGCAAGGGCCTAGATTCAAAGGACCAATGAGTTTTCAAATGACCTCCTTCTCAAAATCTCCTTAGGAAGAAATTCTTACTCTTACTTCAGTCTTCCCTGCCAAATCGTGGGGCTTCTCTTACACAGTAAACTGACCAAGCCTGTTCTCTGGCTGGGCAAAGTGCTGACACTGGCCAAAATCACACCAGGAATCATGCTCATAATTAGACAGTACAGACTGTGGGGCTGTGCTCGAGACCATGCCCTTCCGCTTTTTATTTTACTGGTATAGCTCCACACCTTTACTCATTACTGCCATATGTGTAGGACGTAGGAATTGTGTATGTGAAAAAGAAAGTGCTCCTTGACATGCATGTTCAGTCTCTTCATACACCTTTTAAATAAGACTTCAGAGTGTAATTCTTCTTAGCAATAACTATGGCTGTATATGTTCTGCAGGAGCGGGTCAGCAGCAGCTAAAAACCAATGAATAACAAAATATATATTAAAAATAAGTATAGATGTTTAGCTCCTAGAGCACACCCACAACCAGGCACTGTGCTCTTCTCAGCAGAGAACAGGCTGTTCTCAGTAATAGAAGGAGCAATTTCTATCTCCCACCAACCTCTTTTTTTTATCACTGCTACATAATTCTGCAGGAAAAACAGACCCAATAGCCAAGGAAAAAAATCGCCAAAGACAGCTAGTGAAGTGCTAATTGCTGAAACATAGCAATACATCTGGGGCAGCCCTTTTATCTCTTCACCCCATCTCCACGCTCATTCTAGCTCTCCAGTTCTCCTTCAACTCCGTTATGGAAACAGGTTTCAGTGACACTCACAGGTGCTATTTCCAACAAGATTCTTCCAAACTTTTAATTGTGTCAGTGTCCCCTACGTGCCTGTTACCAAGTAAGTGTTGCTTCTTTTAGTTCAGCAGCCCAGAACTGATGATTAAAAAAGCATCTCTTTGTGCACCTCCTTGCTTACTCTTAGTTTTGCATACACCTATGTGGCCTTCTGTGTGCCAAGTAAAATTCTAAAAATAGTGTATTTCTGTGTAGGCTGTTCCCATACGCTAGGTATTTTTCAGCCTATTAGTCCTCAGTGGTAAAGAGTACCTTTCTCTATTGTTTCTGTCCTAAAACACACCAAAAATTGAGGACTTCATGTTTGCAAAATACTGAAATTTGGTGCTATGTGTACGGAGCCTTTTACATTAAAGGAATCAGTAAGTTGTAGTATCTGAGCATCTTCTGCGTGGGGGATAATATCCAGAATCGTAACTCTTACGTGGTTTTCACACTCAGTGGTAGTTTTGGTGCATAAGAACTAAATACTGTGCCTTGCTACTTTTCACAGGTTCACTCACTGTCTTTGAGAAGCATGTTTTATTATATATATTTAATATGGAAAATAAAGAGAAAACATGCTCTTTTGGTCTTTTAGCCAACAAACTTGGAGCACTTATCTGACTCACAACTGAAAACACATCAGTTGTCTAATATGTATGTGAATCATAAACCACAGAGTTTGGTTTAAAAGGCCACGTAAATTAATTATGTTCCATGTATAAGACACAGTTGAATAATGAAGAAGTTAATTCAAAGAACTCTGTTTTGTAGAACCACTTTGCTAGTATTTTTTCGTATATAGTAGTTTCAGAAATAGATTGATTTTTATATACAATATGTGTTAGAAGAAACTAGGCTATTAGACTGATTTTGTTGTGTTATGCTTGAAGCTTGAATTGATCACAAGCTTAGGAACCTAACATATTTATTTTATTGCGACAAAACTACTTCTAAATATCAAGATCTCTTTTGATGTTAACAGGTTTTCACTCTTTTCTTAATGTGTAAATCATTTTATTGAAATTAGTATATTAGAAAAAACATTTTATCAAACTGCAGCTATGTGGGAAAAATTAAGAAATATATTTTTACTTTCACAGAGAATAGTAACATGTTATATACTGAAATCTTCAGTAACTGACTGTTAATAAGCTATCATTTTTACTTTTTGATTGCTAAGTATTGGAGTATACAGATTACTTTCCATGAAGAAAAAATTCAGAAACAATCTCTAGAAAAGTAAATGGCATTTTATATGTTTAACCTTCCAAGTTCCATTTTCATATCGAGTTTTTTTTGTGCAAGTACAGTTCAGGTGTGCAAAAAAACCAACTACAATTTTAACAGTCTAATAGACTGTGTAACTCAAATATGAGTTTCATTAGTGAGCTATTAATTTTACTATATCTCTTTGTTTTGCAAACTGATAGATAATGGCTGTAATATAAGTCTACTTTCTGGACCCAACTCTACAACCA